TGTGTGTGTGTGTGTGTGTGTGTGTGTGTGTGTGTGTGTGTGTGTGTCGAGGTGGGCAGCAGGCATGCGTGAAAACAGCTGATGAGCTCATGTCTCATCAAAGCCATCAATGTGTCTTTGTTCTTCTCTCTCCAGCCACCATCCAGTTTCTGTTTAATGTTCATGTTAAACATAAAAGGGATCCCCGGAACAGAATGACATGAAACAGCTAAATGGTGGGAAAGTTGTTATACTGATTAAGAAAAGATCGGCAGCTTCTGACACAGATAGTTTACTTTATTATCTTGTTTTAAGTTTGTTTGCTTTGTATCTGCACTCTTGCTCTTTCAGATGTGGCGGCCTCTGTGTGTTGTTGCTGTGTTGCTGGTTCCTGTTAACCTCTGCAGACCACAAATATCTGGACCAAATCTCCCTGTAATCCCTCTCTTGTTCCAGATATTCACTCCGGACCAAAGTGACCGGCAGTCACCATCACTAGAGACGATCCTACAGCGGCTAAAAAAACCAACATGAAGAGTTTTGAAGCCGTTTAAAAACTCTGGAATAGGATTAGAAGTGGAGCTTACATCAAGATTGTTGACGCCATAAAGATGTCTTAGTCGACTGACACTCGTACGTTTTTGTCGACTAATCGATTAGCTGATTTAATCGACAGATCTGTAAAACTTTCTCCAAAAAGAATCTCACGAAAGCACTGCTTTTGTCCTCCCTTAAAACCCAGATGAGACAGACCGGAGTCCGGTTGTGAAAAGATTAAACCGTTTGTTTTTCCTAAACCTGTTTGAGTATTTTTGTTTACTCTACCTCATAGCAGGCCATGATCATCTGGTTGAGGAGTGTTGAGACTGAGTAGAAGGAACCGGTCATCATACCTGCAAGCAAACACAAACAAAGAGTCTATAAGTTTGTAGTTTAACTTGTTAAATCAAACTCTAAATGCAAAAACAGCCACAGGCTTCACTGGGCTTTTCTAACGCGGTCACATGCATTAAGATAATTAAAGAGAGCACATTTATTTGCATACAACTATCTCTGTGTCTACTTGTCCTGACTGGCTGCGAGCGTCTGCATTCCTGATTGGCTGTTGCTGGGTTACGGAGTCGGAGTCGTTACGCCTACAGGTCAAATGAGTACACGACGTTAAATACGGCCTCGCCCTTTCCTTTAAAGTCGGCCTGTGGGATGCGTGACGGATCCTTTATACACACGGTGAGTTGTGAAGAAGCGACGTGAGCCGCGAGAGCCTTATAAAGTGGCCCCCAACGAATGTCCCCCCACACACACTCACCGTAGCTGACGAGCAGGAGCACGAATGCTTTATTCTTCATCAGGTTCACGATGGACTGTTTGTAGGAGTAATCGGTGGTGGGGGAGTCTGGCAGGACGGCCTGGGCGTGACTGGGAGGGAGGAGGGGGCGGTCCTTAAACACTGTAGGACACACAAGATACGGCTTGGGTTAGCTTGCTGGGCCTCCGAAGCTGCGTTTCCACCAGGAAGCTCCTGGTGATGTTAGCCTGGAGTTCAGTGTTGGTTGAGTGTTTCATGGTTAATCATTTGTGCTTTAACGCCCATATGGAACAAGAGAAAGTACAATAAATAATCACTTGGCTTGGTTCAGTGGAAAAGCAGGTTGCATTACTCTCTAGGCTGCTTTATTGCAAATAGAATCATTACCGAAACCCCTGGAATACTTTATTGTAACCTATGCGTTCATTACCAAGTGTTTTCATCTCAGAAGGTAATACGACATGTTTTAATAAAAAGTTAAGCATTCATATCTCATCAACTAACGGGTTTATGAATAAACTGTTTACATTCTTTATAGATGTACCTCTTACTAGCTCTCTCACAGTGCAGCAGATTGATGCCTTTCACTCTAAAATGTGGGCTAAAAGATGTTCAAATCCAAAGTTGATGAGTAATCGTGGTAAAGTTACTAAAAATACATTTAATTTAGTGTCTACTTCGTGGGTCACTGTGGACAAAAGTGGTCTCTCAGAAAACCTCTAATTTAACTGCAGCAGGGTCTGAAAGTATGCTCCGCTCAGTCCTGGTTCTGGTCTCTGCTGGAGGATCTGGGTCTGTCCACGGTGGACCGGTCTCTGCTGGAGGATCTGGGTCTGTCTACGGTGGACCGGTCTCTGCTGGAGGATTTGGGTCTGTCTATGGTGGACCGGTCTCTGCTGGAGGATCTGGGTCTGTCCACGGTGGACCGGTCTCTGCTGGAGGATCTGGGTCTGTCTACGGTGGACCGGTCTCTGCAGTTTCTGGTGAACCTGCATGATTTCATCAGATTTCGATGACGAGCATTAAGAATAACTCTATAGAAACAGACCATCTTCTCTCTGATGGTCTCTTTACTGATGGAGGTCTGACAGAGGATCAGGACTTAGCTGAGACTGGTTCAGAACCAGTTACAAGATCCTCACAGTAATTTTAAATAACTGTGATCTCAATAATAAACAACAAAGTTAAAGGAGCGGCTTCCCTTCATCACTAGTTACACTGGATCTGTATTACTGATGATCTGTAAGGTCTATTTCACCCACTAACTCCATAACACAATGCAGTGTTGATGTACATAAAACCATAACACTTCACCACAGGTCTTTCCTTAACCTAAACCTAATCCTATTCTACTCTTAATCCCTAACTCAAGTCTTAATCCTGAACCGGTCGCCCACAGATTTAAGGAGCGGCAAAATGTCTCCTTTTTGAAAAGTTTCAGGAATATCCTCCATCCTTGTGAGGACATCTGGGTCCTCAGAATAGCAGGAACAAGCACACAAACACACACTTCTGTTGTGCAGCTGTTCCTGTGGTCACCTCACTGGACTTCAAGGCCACTGAACCACTAATCTGCAGCAACTGGAGCACATAGCGCCACCTAGGCAACGTATGCAAGGCCGCTGTGTGTGTGTGCGTGTGTGCGTGTGTGTGTGTGCGTGTGTGCGTACCTATAACAGTGAGGAGGAAGAGGACGGTGGAGACAGCGGCGGTGCCGTAGAACATGATGCTGATGTTGTGACCTGTGAGTTTGTCGTCGGGCGTGTTGGGAACCAAAACTGGAGGCAACAGGAAGCCTATGGCTGTTCCTAACTAAGGGGCGAGAGACACAGAGAGAGAGAGACAGAGAGA